CCTGCTCGTTCCCCGCTCACCGGCGCCGCGCCGCCTGCTGCTTTGGGCACCTCGCACTAATACAAGGAGTTAAAGCCCGGTCTGGCGAGGACTGGGTCGCGTGTGTGCTGTGCCGGCCGATGGAGGCTGTGGCGTTTGCCTGCTTTGTCCTGGACGTCCAGCCAGCTTTGCTTCTGCTTTCATTCTTAATGCTTGTTGTTTGTACGGAGTGAGACCCGTGAGCTCGAGGGAGGCCCTGCAGGGCTGGCCCCGTGGTCCCTACACACAGTGCCGTGTTCCCTCGGGAGGCAGCAGTGATGCTGTTCCCATCTCACAGCCTGGGGAGGGGGGGAACACAGGGCCCCACAGTGGGAGATGATGGCAAAGCAGAAACTAAATGTAGATCTTTTGAGACCACGCCAGCCTTTCTCTGTAGTGAATATCGCAAAGATCTCTTTCTCCAGGAACATGAAAGATGATGAAAGGAGCCAGGATAATCCCCTTGTCCTCTATGTTGTTTTGTCTTGTTTTGTTTTTAATTTAATTTTAACCTTGCTCAGTGCAGCTCTGCAGCAAAATAAGTGGCAGAAGGGAGCGTTATCATTGCTGTTAGTGTCAGCAGAGCTGCTGGAAAGGGAATACCTTCCAGATATTTGGAGCTCTTCTGAAGGAAATATCAGCTCTCTTTGCTTCTATTTCAGGACATGAGATGCCCAAGAGTATGTTGTTGTTTGTCGTTCTGTGGTTTCTGTAATGACTCTGAGGTGCTAATTTAAGTCTATTGCCATGGAAACGAGTGGTGGAGGTACCCAGCACTCAGGCTGGCTTAGCCCTGACCTTACTGTGCAGGAGCCCTGCATCATTAGAGCAGCCTAAATTAAGTGGAATATTGTGGATGAGAGAGAAAACCAGTATTGTCTTTTCTTGTTCATACTTTTACACGTTGTGATCAAATCCTAAGAAAGGCAAAATAGTTATTTATTTTTCATAATAAAAAAAAAGCTAGGTCTTTTTTCTCCATATTACATGCAGCAAGCTGCATTGATATTGAGGCTAATCTGTTACTATTGTTAAATAATACGACAGTGGATTTAAATGCTTTATATTCAGAGATTTGGAGATGTTTCTGAAGACATTATAAAGAAATTTTCTCGTTACTGATAGGCTTATAAGTGATCATTTATAGCACTGCATGTTATTATTGAAACAAATGCAAGCAAACGGGTTGGCCAAGGTTCTGTTCTGACGCTTACACAGGGGATCCCAGAGAATCCTGTAATTCTTCTCTTTTTCCTTTTACATAATGGCCTCAGAATCATAATTATTCAGGGTGCACAGTGCAACAGACACACTTTGCAGGAGCTTTCTCAGCTCACATCACCGAGGGATGTGGTACCTGTCCTGGGGCAGTGGCAGAGATGTCCCCCAGCCCAGTGCCCCCGCAGCACCCAGCACCCACTGCTAGGTGCTCTGAATGCTGCTGCTCTGCGTTGGCTGCTCTCTTGAGCTGCAACTCGGTTTTCCCTCACAGGAATGAAAGACAAGGTAGGAGTTTAGGCATTGGTGTGCCCATGGGCATCTGCAGTGCAATGGAAGAGAGACCTGGGGGTGGTTCATCACTGATTAAAGCCACTCTCTGGCTGTGTGGGTGCTGACAGAGGAGGTCCCAGGCTTGCTCCTCATCACGTTCCCGCCTGGGCCAAGATGAGTGCTGAGCTGCAGGGCAGGGCGAGCTGCAGGGCAGGGCGAGCTGCAGGGCAGGGCGACCCGCGCCCCTCGTTCTCGGTGTGCCAGAGCAGGCCTGCCAGAGAGAAACTCCCCCGCCTCGGCATGCAGGGAGCCGGGGAGCCTCGCTCCCTAAATTAGCTCTCTGCAGCTCTGCGGTGTGATGATGCTCCCACGTGACAATGCTCCATGGGTATTAATAGCAACAGTTAATTGGGATCTGAAGTGTTTTGCACAGGGCAGGCAGCCGTACTCCCAGTGTGGCAGGGCTGCGAGGCAGGACGAGGCCCATGGCGATGGTGGGGGAGGCAGAGGAGGGGATGGCCCCTCTGCCATCACTGCTGCCCCCAGCCACGAATGCTCCTGGAAAGCAGGGGCTGTGTCCCTGCTGTTCCCTGACCTGTGCAGTGCTGACTCTTGCTGCCCAGCGAGGACACATCCAGTGCTGCTGGGGCCCCTCTTGCAACAAACCAGAGCCAATCCCAAAGACTGTTAATTCCCTTCTGGTTTTTGTTGGTTGGTTGGTTGTTTTTGGTTTTTTTTTGTTTTTTTTTGTTTTTTTTTGTTTGTTTGTTTGTTTGTTTGGGGTTTTTTTTTGGTTTTTTTTTGGTTTTTTTTGTGTGAGGTTTTTGTTTGGTTTGATTCTGTTTTGTTTTCAATAGCAATACCCCGAAATAAAGTCCATAACATTTCTCTTTAAGTGTTTGCTGGAGTTCTGGGTTGCCAAGAGACACTTCCCTTACACCTTTAGCTGCTCCTGTTCTCATATCTTTCTTACATGCTATTACAATAGCAGATCCTCAGAGCTGAAAGTCTTAATTCCTCAGCCAAGTACAAATATTCCTCAGAACAGAGAATTGCATTGATTTAGGCTCAAAAGCTGGCCAGTAAGACAAGTCAGGACTTTCTTCTGCTATTATCATCTCAGAGTACTAGCGTCTCTCTACTGCAGAATTTGGAACAGTCTGTTCTGCAGCTTTGCAGACCTTTGTTTATGGGAGGAGTTTTTGGAGCATCTGCCAAACATGTTCAGTGTTTAACCTTTATGCAACTCTGCGAATGGTTTCATGATTGTGTGATAATTTTCTTCTTGAAGAGGCATTGTCTTTTTAACTTCTAACTACCCACTTGGATCCCTTGAGTTTCCTCACTGACCATGAGAAATACTGTACAGGACTGAGAGCTCTCCTCAGTTCACTCTTGCCTCCTTCCACACCAGCGCACAGGGACCCTTTCAACCTGCACAGTTTGTGATTGCATAACAGCTTCTGGTGCCAAGGGGAAATTTTGAACAATTGAGCACCATCAGGATTTAGCCACAATAACAAGTGCTGATCACATGTGCTTTCTACAAGCACTGTAGCAGATGAGGGAAGCTGTCAGCGATGTTCGGTCAGTGTATGCTCAAGCCCTTTCACACACAAATGGTTTGGGACAAATGAGAGCTGATGGACTTATCAAACAACTGTCTAGACAGGCTTACTTCCCTTACTTTCAGAAAATCCATGTCTTAAGCCAAATTAATTTGGTGTAACCTGGCTATTTCAAGCAGAAAAAAAATCTGAGAGTTAAACAGGTATACTTAACTCTCAATAGTTCTTGTCTTTACCCGGGTTGAATTCCAGTGGCCTAAATATGGATAGAGTTGATTACAGGGGCAGACAGGAATACCAGGCTGGTTCTACCTCCTTATTGGAGGATATCAAAATGCTGTCAGGTCCTCACTACAATCAGTTCTCTAAACCCCACTGAACAAAACTCACCATTGTTGAAACACTGTGTCAATACAGCTCTCTTCCCACTCTAACTTCCTTCTTTAAAAAACATAAGCGAGCTTAGGTTCACATTGTTTTTATGGCTTTGATTTACTGCATAATACTTTATTAAATTAAAGCTGTCCTTGGTGTATGTGTTGGATGTCCGTTGTTCCGTTGTGAACTTGAAGATCACCTGCTGATTCTTCTGTTGTGACTCTTCTTGCCATATCCTACACAGATCCTGACAGCAAGTGGAGATGGGACTTGTGCTCTGTGGGATGTTGAGAGTGGGCAGCTTCTGCAGAGTTTCCATGGTCATGGAGCTGATGTCCTGTGCCTGGACCTGGCCCCTTCTGAAACGGGAAATACATTTGTCTCTGGGGTAAGCAGAAGTTTCCTATCATAATCTAAATTTAAGGAATGTGGAAGGGAAAAGGCAGCAAAGGAGGAGGCTCCTGGTCTTATTGAGAGAGTGCTGGAGTATGTGTTGGAAGCCTCAGTGCAATCCACTCATTGCAAGCACATTTTCCAAGCTGGAGCAAATTAAACCCCTGACTGTGGGGTCAAACCCACCCAGCCAGTCTGACTGCAGTTCTGCTTATTTAGCAAATTCCACCCCACACCAAAGCAATCCAGCCGAGATCAAAACCACGCCTCTCAGGGGGAGGGAAAGGCTGGGAGCTGGACTCCAGCGAGAGCCCCCGTGGCCAGGAGCCTGGGGCAGCTCCCTGCACTGGGCTCCCGCCCTGGGCCCAGATCACTGGGGCCCGACCGGCTGCACCAGGTGCCTGCCCAGGGCACTGAAGTGGGGCTGCAGATAACGGGCGTGCCCTTATCCCTCAGCCGCTCCCCAGAGCCCAAGGGGGACTGTTGGGTGCTGGCTAAACCTTCATACAAGTTGGAGTAGGGAGGTGATGTGTGGCCACATCTTCAGCTGTTGCTGAGTCCCCTGTGCCATCCACCAGTACCAGAGGCATTTAAAGCCCCTTCTGCCGGTGAACGCTACCTGTTCCCTGTCCTGGCCCAGAGGGATACACAAACCTCACTCAGGCTGCATGAGCGGTCTGGGGGAATACCCAGGGCAGCTTCCAAATCTTATCCTGCTGCTGAGAGATCACTGTTCCTGGGCAGCCGAGCCAGTGAGGCAGGCAATGCATAAAGGTGAATGGGATGGGACTCGGCTCCTTTTCATGGTGGTCCTGGTCTTCCCCACATCAGAAATAGAGTGTGCAGATCAGAGCTGGCAGGAGCTGAGAGATGACCTCTTTTGCTGGAGGCAGGTTGCTGCCAGGAGCTTTTTTCTAAAGGTACCAGGTTTCTGAGCCCCACCAGCACTAGCCCAGGGCCGGTGCTGTGCTCACTGATGGAAACGGCCTTTGTGCCACAGGGTGCTGACCATGGATTAGGGGACTCCACTTGTGCTCAGCATCATGGTCCCGTTCCTATACAATAAACCTGGACCTCTTCTGTCACAGTTCTTCTGTCAGATTTGGTTGGCCCACCAGGAGCAAGCCCAGCACGCTGGCCCAGTTTGCCTGCTGTAAGCACAGCTGCTCCGAAGCGTGACTGAAAGCTAATTCCATCCGAGTGCATTACTCCTCCTGGGCTTTCCTGTCACCGAGCTTGCTTCCCAGAAAGGATAGATTCATTCTCCCTGGGAACAGCTCAGCTTATTATAGGGCAAAGAATCACAAGCAGCTACAGTACTGTTAAAAGGATATGCCATACTTGTGTCAATGTAGCAGCTTGGGCATGTCTGTGCCTACAGGGACTCGCTGAATTTATCACATGCAAAATACCACATCAGTGAAGAACTCTTATATCATGTCAATGCAGGCATAGTCAAAACAATGCAACCTGAAGGTATGATGGCAGAGAGAGAGACTCCCTGTGTATTCTGTAAAATTCCACGTTGAGCTGGAAGAAGCAGTGCCAGTACATCAGCGTGTAGACTGGGTGCTGTTACATTAACGACTGAAGTGAACAGCCCAGCCCTCTTGGGTGAGCTGAGGGCTGTGTCCCGGGCTCTCATGCTCAGTTCCCTTTGAGCACTGCTTCTCAGGGTGAGTTGGATAGCACTCAGGGGGTCCATCTCTCTGCAGGTGGTTGCTGGTTTGTTCTTCAAAACTTTAGGAGTCAAAGCACCAGCTTGTCAGATATATCTTTCCCCCAAACTCCCAGAGAGGTCAGTAAGAACAGTGCACATGGAAGCAATAAGGGCTGGGCTTGGGCTGTGGTGGGGCTTGAGAGGGAAATATGCTGAGTCCAAAATGTTCTGTATCCTGTTTGGTTTCCCCTCTGCAGAAACCACAAGTTGGTAAAATGGAACATTACCTCTTTTAAATGACGACATCATTAGTGAAAAAAATGGGATTTCATTTTAACAAGAGAATTAAAAAAAAAGAGAGAAAGATGTGAATTGTGAAGAGACTGTTTAATTTAATTAGCAATTATATTTGCTTAAAAAGAAATAACATGTGTGGCATGGTCTGCTGGGCAGGACACGCTGGCTTGGCAGAAGCAGCAGCTGCTTGGCCTGCCCTGTGCTTCCCACGCAGCCTCAGAGAGGCTGAGGCCCCAGAGCTGAGCCTACCTGTGGCCTGACCCTCAGCAGTGTCCTATTTATTAAAATCTCCCATCACTCTTAAAAGAAAAGTCCATGTTCTTTTTCCTGTCACCGTGATTGTCATGGCTCTATAGGTGTGAGATGGTTCCTGCCCCAAGGACATTGCAGACTGCATAGGCCGGACCTCTTGCCCAAAACATTCAGGGTGCTGAGCACCACGCAGCAAACACCGAGTGTTAAATGATCTTTTCAAAGCACAGCTTGGAAGGGCAGTTTAGAGCTTGACAATGAGAAGATTGCTGTTATGCTTCTTTTATCATCCCAGCCACAGCGCTGAGCACGTGGGTGCAGAGCCATGGCAGGGGTTAACTCTGGCAGGAGGCTGGGCAAGAGGCCCTCCAGATGTGCTGATTCCATTTTCTATTTTAGTGTATGAGAAGAATTAGTTATAAAACTTTAAATGCTGGGTATTAATTTTTCATACAGGACATGTTAAGCAGGAGTGAGTCTCTTCCGCAGCGCTGGCACGGTGGGACTGCAGACAGGGGTACAGCAGCAGCAGCTGAGCAGGGCGGCGGGTGCCGGCTCGTGCGGTTCCTCGGCACAAGCCCCCCAGGCCTGCCTGCCCCGCGGGGGGCCCATGGCACCGGGGGATACCAGTATGGCCAGTGCTGGGGCTGCTTCGCTGGTTCAGCTCGCTCAGAGCCTCTGAGTGTAGCTGGGCTTGCTGGCACGTGTCAGGCACGAGGGATGAATGTCACGATTTGCACAACTGTAGTGATGTTTTTTGTCTTACTAGGGATGTGACAAGAAAGCCATGGTTTGGGATATGCGGTCTGGTCAGTGCATCCAGTCATTTGAAACCCACGATTCAGATATCAACAGTGTCAGGTCAGTATGTTTCTGGGAGAGGACACATTTGTGATGTTCAGCAATGCACTGGTTCTATTTTTGAAGTCTGACTTCATGCAAGTAATGTAATGTGTTCTGGTCTTTTTTTTACTCATGCACAGATATTACCCAAGTGGAGATGCTTTTGCCTCTGGTTCAGACGATGCCACGGTATGTTAATTCAGCAACCTAATTTAGGGAAGTTCTGTTACTTCCCAAGTCAGGTTTTCCTAAAAGACTAGGTCACATCCACAGAGGATTTAAAGTGACTAAACTGGGCCTGTGACACCAAAATTGCCGAAATAATAATGCTCTTGTATAACATATATTAAATGCTATTTATAATGCTATAGGGAAAATCTAGTGACGATTTGTAGGTCACCTCTGCAAAGTTTGCTACATGAGATACTGTCCAAATATTCATTTCAGATTTTCTGTGTTTTGAAGTTTCATGATCAAAATTAGTTTTCTTACTGGAAGAGATCTGGCTTTGTGTAGTTGTTGGTCACAGCCTGGGAGGAACCAGATGTAATGCTGCAGCTTGTGTCAGCAGGAGCAGCACAGCACAAGGGCATGAAGGGAGCCTGAACTTGAGTGTGCACGTCCCAGCAAGCAGAGGGGCTGTGGGCTCAGGACGGAGCTGGGCAGACCCACTCAGCACTGTGCATCCTGGAGCACAGCCCCAGGGTGGCCATGGCCACATACATCTCCTTCCCATCAGCCCGACTCACTGCCAGCCCTCTTCACTGGGATGAGTCACAGCATCCAGGCCATCCTGGATGATGCAATAGCTCTTACAGGATCTGTCTTATCTATGAGCAAGCTGTGAGGAGAGGCACGGTATGTATTGACAGGTAACTCTGGTCAGCACACTGTATGCAAAATGCCACTTAGGTCCTGGTGCCTTCAAGCCCCTGAGCGATGCACGTGGGTGGTGGGTCTCACTGCAGCTGGTGGGTCCCCATGGGGGAACCAGGCTCTGCCTGCACCACAGCCCTGCAGGGACTAAGCTGGCAGTTAAGTGTAACTCGAGAGCAGGTGTTTGGGAGGCACCTGGCACCTTATTTCTCCTGTTTACTCAAACATCACATGATGTTGCATGACTCTTTCTAAAGTACTCTGCTCTCAGAGCATGTTTTGAATCTGCTCCAACGCTAGCTAAACTCAATAGAAACATTCCCTTTGTCTTCACTGGAAGTCAGACCCTTCAAGGCTCTTCTAGAGAGAACGTATGCTCCTTTTAGGTCTTAAAAGCTGTGATTATAAATTAATACCTCAAGCTCTGTGGTGAGCCCAGTGGCTCTCCACATGTTCAGATGTGGTACTGTGAGCACTTGAGATGCTGAGAGAGTGAGATGGAGAAATTGTCCATCATTAAATTCCAATGAGAGCACTCTTTTTTTATGCCCAGTACCACAGACTCTGGGCTCCTGTGCTTATTAATTTGTTTAACGGAGTTTTTCTCTCTTAACCACTCCTAACACCCCCAACTTGAGCAGAAAAAATGGGAAATTCCACCTCTGTACTTTTGACAGAGGTTTTTGGCAGTTTCCATCTAATTCATTCTTTAAATGAAGAGGTTGGTGCTTTCGGCATTACAGACTGGTACACTGACTGGTATCCTTGAGCTGATTTACATACTTAGGGATTTCGAGGAACAGATCATCCTGACAGTCTGGAGGGAAACCAGAAAAGCATGCTCACGTGGCAGTGCTGTCACCCGCGCTGACCCTGGCTCCTTGTCGGGGCAGTCTGATGGAATTGTTCATCCGCATGGAGCACTGGGAGACCTGGAATTCACATAGCTGGCAGCTCCCGACCACCTTGCAAATGGAACAGCCTCTCCTTTGTGTGCAGGCTTGAATACCAGCCATTTTTCATTAGTAAAGTCTTAATATTAGCAAGCCCATCTGGCCAGTGTTTGATTAAACTTAACTTGTTGGGAAGGCTTACAGTTCAAACAATTTCAAAAGTGCATTTTGATGTCAGGGCTAACAGACTGCCTTTCAGTATGGCAGTGAAGTCTGGTCTGCCCATGCATTATTTCCATGTTCAACAAGCCTAAGTGTGCTGGCAAATGATAAAAACAGGAAGTGCAGGTTGTAGAGGTGATTGGGGATTTTCCATGAGAAATGAAACCCAAAGATATGTATTAAAATGTTATTATTTCACTTGAATTATTTTCACGTATGCTTTTCAGACAGAGAGGCCTCACGGAAGGGCAGGGGCTGTTTGTTATCCTGTTTCACTCGGAGCAAAGGCTACCACTTAGGCTTCCCCGTGCCAAGGGACCGTCTGAGCACCGTGCCATGTGGTCCGTGTTCTTGGAGATGACTAGAGATTTAATCCTCTCTCTCCTGGGCTCCAGCTCTGACTAAACTGTTGTCTTTGGAGACTCTCCCCATGCCCCTCCTCAGCAGCAGGATGCCCTAATCTGTAGGAAACCGCAGTGGAGAAGCATGAGGATGGGGGGACTTTCAGTGGATAGCCATGCTCCAAAGCCCACCACTCATCTCTTTATAGCAGGACAGGCAGGAGGCTTAGGGAGGTGGCTTGGAAAAGCAAGTTCTTAACTCAATTTATACAAAACAGACTTGTGTTGCTTAGATCCCTGTTAGAGTCTAGAGGAGTCCTGGTTACAGCAGGCAGAAACAGCAGTTAGGCTGTGGTCCTTCCCACTCCCATTTTTTAAATGAAATGGAGTAGGTATCAACTCCAGCCTTTACTGAGGGATGTGTTGGTTTTGTTTTAATTCTAGTGTCGCTTATATGACCTTCGTGCAGACAGAGAAGTAGCAATTTACTCCAAAGAGAGCATCATTTTTGGAGCATCCAGTGTGGACTTCTCTCTCAGCGGTGAGACCTGAACTTTGGAGGGTATCTTAGTGTTGGGATTTGAGGGGAACTGTAAAATTTTGCCAGCTTAATCTGATAAAACATTTGTTATTAAAAGTAATGCTAAGTACCAAAAGAAACTTCTAATGCATGGAAGCCTTTTTTTGCCTCTGTAAAAATAATTATTCTTTAAATAACCTAGCTGGCTATTGCTTCGTTGTAGCAATGAAAAGTATTTTCCTGGCCTCACTCGAGGCAGGAAATATTATTTTGCCATTAACTACAGCTGAGCTAGAATTTCACAATAATGATCAAAAACATTTCAAAGGAAACATGAAATGTAACTAGACTATTAAGTGTGCTTACATAAGTAGTTTTTAAAAGGATAACAAATGATTAATAGACAGTATGTTAGAGGAGTGTGAAGACAGAGACGTTACCATTTTTCACTACAGATCGGAGGCATGAGCTTGACTCTTCTCTCTCCTGCTCCAGCACAAAGGCAGAGCTCCTCCAGTCACACTCCATGGGGGCGAACGAACTGCTCTCTGTCTGGGACAGAGGCAAATGTCTCTTCCATGGTCACAAGCACCACAGCTCGTCCCACTGGGGACAATGAATCACCAAAACGTCTACTAATCATTCAGTCATTTGAATTAAATTTCTTGCTTAAAGTCTGTGCAAAATATTACCCTGCGCTAGCTGTTGGAGGGCTCTTCAGTCCATTGTGATTTAGTCGTGGTTCAGTCCTGACCAAACAGATTCTATATAATTTATCTCAGTTTTACTATGTTTTAACCAATAAATGTTAAGTGGTTCGGCACTTAGTATGGATAGTTCAGCAGTGGAGCAGGTGTGTTTAACAGGAACACAGGGGGAAGCAGAGGTGAGGGCTCGCTGTGTGTGGAGGGTGGCACAGGAAGGCTGGGCTGTGGCTCGCTGGGTGATCCGTGTCCTGCAGAAAGCCCTCCTTGTCCTGCACTCAAGACGTGTCACCTACTTAAGACCTCACTTTGTAAAATCTCATTCTCCTGGTAGGTCGCTTACTGTTTGCGGGCTATAATGATTATACCATCAATGTCTGGGATGTGCTGAAGGGGTCCCGTGTATCCATTCTGTTTGGACACGAAAACCGCGTCAGCACCTTGCGGGTCTCCCCCGACGGGACAGCGTTCTGCTCAGGCTCCTGGGACCACACTCTCCGAGTAAGTGCTAGGAGCACCTGCTTTGGGTCTTCTCTCTTTGGCTGGTTGTTTAAAAACAGACGCTGAGGAGGGGAAGGGTTGCTACAGGAGAATTGACTCTACAGGGACTAATGAGGATATAAGAACACAGTGTAAAACATGAACAGAAAATTGAAATTAAAAAAAAATACCCACAAAGTGCTAGCAGAACTGTTAAATTTTTAATTTAAGGGTTAAATATAATTGCTGCTGATACTCTGTACCACTAATCTGACTGCCTTGCCAAATTTTAATTAAACGTTAGATAGTCAATGTCATAAATGATTGTTTAACTCTCTCTGCAGATCTGGGCTTAACCTGAGATCCTGTGTGCAGAATCAAATGAAGACTGAAACCCTGGACTACAAAAACTGCATAAAATCCCCCTCAAAGCCAACTATTCGCTACACTGCAAAAGAGTGGCACTGAACCCACAGGTTAACACAACTAGGTAGAAACTGTAATCTGCTTGAACACATAGGAAACATCAAAAGTTATCTTCTTTTATTAGGACTAGTTTATATAATTATAAGGGGACTTTTGTGTGAAGTCACCTGATCATAGAATAGAGTATTTCAGTGCACATTACGTATTTATTTGCATGAATTTGTTTCCTTTTTAAAGTGGAAAAGAAAAAAGATACCTGATTTTATCAGGATGTAGCATAAGACTTTGGGAACATTCCATTGTAGTGCATTGAATTTTGTGTTGAAAAGCGGAAAGAAAAACAATTCTGATACTTCATGATGGCATTACGGATGACTGAACCTTGGTAGTAAGTAGAGGAGCAAAGGACCTAATGTGAAAGTACTGACTGTTGTAATAAAAATGTATTTTTTGTACAGAAAGGAATCCTTTCAATCCCTGTTTTTTCCTACTGTTTTTTTTAGATAGAAAGAAGTATTTCACGTCTGTTACCTGAATTAAAAGTATCTAAATGTATACAAGCTGGTAAGCTGCAAAGAGGAGGGATATAAACATGATTTACATAATCATGAGGTAATACTTAACCAGTAGTTTCTTAGAAATTTTTAATTGTATCACTTGGTGAGTGAATTTTCTTTTATTTAAGGGAATACTACATGCTAAGTACTAAGGGATACCACAGGCTAAGCACTAAGCACTGTTATACTGATGGTCAAATCTTTTCCAAGTCAGTCAGTCAGTCAGTCCATGATCCTAATTCTTATTTGCATTCTGAGCAATTCATACCACTTTGGCAGGGCAATGTGGCTTAAATGTGTATTAAGGCAGTAGGTGCCCATTTTAAGGTCCTTCTGCAATGTCACAGTCCTTACTCTAACACTAATCTCTCACTGGCATGGACATAGTTCAGTTGTAGCTGGTCTCGAGAATGTCCAGCAGTAAGCTGTTGAAAACCAGCTGGGAGCCACAGTCCCGCCAGCATTTGGTACTCTGTTCAGCAGAGCCTGTGAGTCCATCTGACCCAGGAGCCTGCGGGGTTCCAGGGAAGCAGTACAGCATTGCCAGCAGCACCCAGCCCTCTGCATGAGCAGGTAACACCGTACCAACTGGCAGGACTACCCCCAGGTGGAGCTGATCCCGTTGAATTAAGATTTAATCAGATAAAACCAAGCTGCAGCTAATACTAGAACTATTGGGAAATTATATCTAGGTTTATACATCAAAAACTATTGAGACTAAAGTGTGTCACCTCTGCTCATACTGACAGGTACTGAGGAGCAAAGAGGTGGAGTTATGCTGAGGACTTGCACGGCCTGACCTTTGAAATGCAAGTGGTGAGACACATCTCTGTAAAGATCAGAGATATGATTTATATTTAGATTGAGACAAGAGAAAACAAGGTCACTGGAGCGAGCTTGATCACACTGATCACTGGAGTTGGCTGTTCACATAAGTTGGATGATAGCATCTTTATTCTATTTGAAAGTGGGATTTTTTTTACAATTCTATGAAAATTGTATTAGAAACAAAGTCTCCTTCTTCAAGAAATCATTAGGTTCCATGAATCCATAACCAGTTAAGCTAGGACACTGACATATATATCCGTCTTTAGTCCCTGATGAAATAGCTCAGCTTCTTCACTTGGAAAAGTCAGCTCTCGTGCTTTGCAATATTTGTGGCAAACTATCCCTGTAACAAACTGAATGCACTACAGAAATGTCATCTAGAGCTCACTGTGCAATACTGAGTCAATACACTGTACACGTTTGATCAAAAGACTAATATTAATGTTTAGATAGTATTTATTGGTAAGATGTTTGTTTCAAACATACTACATTGTGTTGATACTTATGAATGGCCTAAATACAATAAATTGTATTTTACGTACTGAGAATATGCATATACTCATTTTTCCCATCAGTTAGGTACTTGTAGTGGTAGATATTTTTCTGGGTTTTTTTTTTTTTTTTGGCATTTCCTTTTAGCGCCATAGAGTTTCTTAGATCATTTGTCCTGCAAAAATCTAGGATGAAGTCCACTTCTACCAGAAAATTGCTTCTGGAATACCTTCTGGAAGTACCCAAGGTGAGCCACAGGGGTGGAAGTGCTCAGTTTAGACACTGAAAAAAACACCACCTTAATTTAGACACATTGTTTTGTTTCCTTTCCTCTGAGGGGCTGGGGAAAGTGCTGAGCCAGCTTCTTCTGAGTGACATCAGTGCCCAAATCGTCACCAGTTCCAGCGAGAACGAGGCTGACATAACATCTTGTGCACTCCTCTTCTTGCGGGGAGAAATCCCATGGCTCTTGCACCTCAGGGCCACTGCCTGTGGACTCGGAAGTCTGGCTGCATGAACTTGGGACCTGTGAAAATCACCTTTTTGTTTCTGAGGTAATGGTGAAAGCCATGAGCCAGGATGGGCCCCAACTTCCCCTCAGATAAATGAAGACAGGGGAACAGGGCACCGAAGTGTCCACTGTATTTCTTATTCGCTAAAGGTTGACCCAGAGAGGCTTTGGAGAACCCAGTGTTTTGAGACCCACCCCCTCTTTGGTCTGCCAAGCTGTTTGTGTCTTGGAGTGCCTCTATTGCTTTCCAGAGGGTGAGGTTTTAACCTGCATCTTGTCCTTTCCACAGTGTGTCCCAGCTTTGGAGCGCAGCCGTGCGGCTCTGGGTGCTGCAGGAAAGCAGCAGTGTCACCGCAGGGCCCCAGCACTGGCCCTACCTTCCTGACCTGCTCCTCAGCTTCAAGCCAGGAGGTGAAGGAGAAGAGTCCCAAAAGGCTACCCGAGTGGGCTGTAACCGGGCTAAGCAAAGGAGCTGTAGCCAGGGCAAAGTCACTGTCAGACGGCTCCATCCCGTTAAACAAAAATTCTATATAAACAGGAAGGGTGGAAAAGGATATTGCTAGAGAAAGAGCAGCCTCTCCCTCTTGCTCTCCTGCTGTGAGGAATGCAATAGGAAATTCCTGCTCCAGGATTAACAATTGTAAGGAAAACTAGTTTAAAAAGCATGTGTGGAAAGCACTGGCGAAAAGTGAAGATATCATTCCAGCTACTGCTCTAGCATATAAACACAGGCTAGATTCCCCTGCTTTAAAACAAAACAAAGGCCAAATATGGGGATGTAAAACTAAAAGTTTGCTTTAGAAACGGCCCTAAGAGATCAGGCCAACTCTTGATAGTGATCTGAGAAATTGCAATAGGATTGATTCCAACCATCTATTTTTAGGTTTTCTGATAGAGATGTAAAATGGAGACAGAGAGCTGTAACTCAAGACGAAGGACTGAAGCTGTGCAGTCCCGCGCTGGCATGCTGTCCACCTTAAGCCCGTTGTGGGGCAAGCTGAGAGCACGACCCAGTCCCTGGCAGCTGCAGCAGTGCTGGTGAGGGGCCGCAATCTGAACCTCGCCTGCCAGCTGGCACTGGGAGGAAGCACAAGTTGGGTGTACCTGTGTTGGGCCTGCCATAAATCTTGGGGTGGTTTTTATGGGAGCTTTGATGATCTGTTAAGCAGTTGATGGTACTCACAGCTCAAAGGGCACAGCAGGGATGCAGGGGAGGCATCTAGCTGAGATGTCTCCATGGTGCCATGCAAATGACACCAGTCAGCCTGCTCAGCCATTTTCTTTTACACCAGCAGCAGCGAAGATGCCAACATTTGCACCATGAAGGTTCTAATCCTAAATTTTGTCCAAATGCCCATCCAAAAGCGAACATGACCACGTTCGCTCGGCAAATGCACAACGCACTCATCCTATAGTTTTAGAAAACGTGAAGGATCTGATGCAAAGAATACAGGTTCGGGCCAGTCGTGGAAAAAATCCGGACGCAAACAGTACTCTAGGGAGAGCGACTCTGTACGTGCCTGCCCCGGGGCGCCGCTGTCCCCTCC